CTGTTCTATGAGGGCTCAGTATATATATATCGTATATATATTGTCACATTGTATATATATATATATATCCCCCTCCCTCCCTCCCAATCAATCAATCAATCACTTTGATTGATTGGTTGATTGATTGGTTGATTGATTGGTTGATTGATTGATTGATTGATTTCTTTTTGGTTTGGAAAAAGCGGGCAGGGGGATGGTTGATGGGACGCACGAGAGGGGGGTAGGGAAAGGGAAAGGAGGGAAGGGAAAAGGAGGGGGTTAAAAACAGAAAAGGCGGCAGGAAACAGGGAGGGGGGTTAACGAACGCGCGGGAGAGGTGATTAACTTACCCGCTAAAACGAAATGTGGGCATTCCTCCCCTTCCACACAATTGCTCTCGCTAAGGAGTAGGTATCAACCATGCCCCCCCTTCACATGATTTGTACCCCTCCCCAAGTCATCAACCCATGCGATCCACCGTTCTTCAGGCATACACACGTCTATTGGTATCAACGTTGAACATTACTACTAATATGACAGTTGTGTACCCCCTGCCTTCAATCAGCAGGGTGCTGTTGAGAAGACCAAGCAGTGTATGTGGTTGATCCTCCCTTATCCTCCCCTATCCTTTGTTAACCCTAGGAGAGAACACAGTAATCAACAATTCTCCCCTCCCCCCTTCACATGATTCATTTCTTTCACATGAGAGCTGGCCCAATGCAACATTCCTCGCGCCGAACCACATACGACTACAACATCCTCGTGCCCATCGTGAGTGTTGCCATTCATCTGATCGCTCTGTTGTTCTTCGTCATACCCGGTACCTTCATAAGTGTTGTGCGAGTGTGGTGCGCGAGTGAGCCAGCATTCATCTGCTCGCTCTGCTATTCTTCATCACACCTGGCATCCATTAATTCCAGCCACGTCAGCGCCAGCATCTGAGTTTGTGTGTGGTGCGCAGACCGGGAAAGGCCATCTTCCCAGGTCGCACAGGCTGTCGGAACAGAGACAGTGCGGAGCTAGTACGGCGGCGCGTGCGCTAGCCCAGCGCCGTCCTACTCCTCACCCTCGACATGATCCACTTCTCCGCTGCCAGCAAAACCCCATCAGTGGCCAGAATACCCACAGCGGTCCCCGCATGTCCTAATATAGCCTCCATAGCGTAGTCCAGGTGATAAAGCCTTCCCTCAGGGGAGAAAATCCTCGTCCTGGCCGGCAGGGTGAAACGTGGTTAGGGGAGGTATGGGAATGAAGGGGGAAGAATCCTACCGTCTCTCCCTCTTTCTGTGTGTGTGTGTGTGTGTGTGTGTGTGACGACCATCGGATGGGATGGGAGGAACAGCATTGGGCGAAAGAGATAGGGAAGGAGGTTCGGAATCCATTGAGGGAGCAGCGGTATTAGAGGAGGGAAGACAACATCATCAAGGAAAGATGGATATCGGTCAGCAAGAACGGGACAGTCGTTTGGGTCGGGGATGAAAAGTGAGGGAGTATAGCCAAGCAGAAGACCACGGGAGAAGGTGGGGGAGCAGAAGACCACGGGAGAAGGTGGGGGAATAGAAGCCTGTCGGGAGAGACGTGAGGGCAGCGACTGGGAGACGGGGTAGGGGTGAAGCAAGTGGGGGAGGGAATACGCAGTCGGGGATGTTGGTGGAGGGAGAAGGGGAGATGAGAGGTGGGTTGGGGAAGGAAGGGGGAGGAGGGAGTGTGAGGAGACCGGGTTGTCGGCATGGGGAGATGGGAAGAGAGTGGTTGTCTGGGGCACAGGGAATGGAGCGGGATAGGGGTGCCGGCGCATGGAAAGGAATAAAGGTGGATGCTCTCTCTCTCTCTCTCTCTCTCTCTCTCTCTCTCTCTCTCTCTCTCTCTCTCTCTCTCTCTCTCTCTCTCTCTTCCTGCGTTTTGCGAATCTCCTCAGCTGTTGACGAATGTTGGGAGGGGAAGCGGATTGTGGGCACAGCGAAGAGTTCTCATCGGTGGACATGATGGATGAAAGGTAGGTACTGTGGTTTGGGGGAAAAGGGAACTTAGTGGGACGAGACGAAGAGGAGGAGGAGGAGGAGGAGGAGGAGGAAGAGGAGAATAGCGGAGGACCTATAACAGAAAACAGGTGTAAACAACTACGATTCGTAAGCAAGGGGAGGCAGTAAGAGGTTATAATGGCTAGGGAGGAGGAGGAGGGGGGTCTGTAGGGGGAGGAGAAAGACGGCGAGGAAGAAGGAACAAGAAGTCGGAAGGAGAAAGTTGAGGAGATCAGGGAAAGGCAGCACGACAATCCACAGGATGAATGAGCCGATGTGGCTGCATGTACAGAGAATAAGCAAAAGAAGAAAGAAAAACAAGCACACAATGCCACACAAATTTATTTGATTTTATTTTTTAAGGTAAAGCATAAATAAATTTAAAAAAAAAAACAAAGGTAAAGCATAAATGGGGAAAAAGAAAGAGGAAATTGAAGGAAAAAGGGAGAGATACACAACACCCATGTGGCTGAACGGTATATGCCCATGAGGTGCCAATGAAGAGACCTCCATTCCTATCCTGATGGGGCCCGATCAGTTCGACTATTTCGACGACGATAGCTCACGGCTGTCGTCTTCAGAAAATAAAAACAAAAAAACAGACTTTGAACACGCGGAGGAGGAAGAGAAAGGGGGAATGGGGGAAAGAAGATGGGCCACAGATGAAAGGAGGAGGGAGGAGGAGAAAGGGGAATGGAGGAGGGAGAGAGTGGTGCATACAGCACGAACGGAGAAACTCAGAAGGCGAACGGGATGAAGGGAGAAAGGGGGTTGGCGTGGGGAGGAGAGGAGAGGGAGTAGAAAACCCTCATCTCCAGCCCGCCGCCTTTCCGCCCCCATACCATTACCGTTATTGCTGAAACAAAACGCAGAAAAAAACGTTATCTCGCCCCCATTTTTTTACTCTTTTTTTCTTTACTGGGAATCAATCAATCAATCAATCAATCAATCAAAACCGATTGATCGATTGATTACTTGATTGGCTGATTGATTGTTTGATTGATTGGTTGGTTGATTGATTGATCGACCAAGGGGAAAAAAAGAACAAAAAGAAT